GGAATCTGCAAACAACATGTGGAGCGTTGTGGTGCTGCACGACGTCGTGTTGAGTGCGTCCTCGCTGTTGGTCAGCAACGTCAAGGCGCATTCAAAGAGGTACGGTGCGTTTGGTTTGTACTCGACTGGGACGCTGACGCTGGTGCGTGGCAGCTCGCTGTACACGCGGTACTGCAGCTTCGAGGGATACACACATCTGTTCTACGTCTATAGGCTCAGTGTCCGCGATCACTCTGTTTTTGCTCTGCTCAACAACACGATGTCCTCCGGGAGAACTCTCCTGTTTCAACACTCTCGATTCAGCGTGTCGGATTACAGCGTGTTGCGCGTGGTGGGGAACAGTGGCTTTGTGTCGTGCGCCATCTCTGCGCATATTCCGTGGGTATTACAGAATTCAAGCTGGCTGGATTGGCGTGACAATGACGTGGAAGTGGGTGCGATGTTGTGCTGTTTTTCTTCTGCCACTGTGAGCATCGACAGCAGCAGTGTGGTGACGCTGAAGGGATGCAAGATGGGCTCGACGGGGTTGTCGGTACCTCTGCTATCGCAGTCTGACGCCGGCTACCAGTTCGTTGCTGGGTGTCTGACGGTCGCGGGACGATTGGTGACAACGGCAGCAGAATTGGAGCTGAACGGCATCACCAACGTGACGACGGTTGCTGCGTGCGGGCAGTGCACGAAGGACGGCGACTGCTTTGCTCCGCTGACGACGGCGGTCATTGACTGCAAGTGCCAGTGCGCTGCTGGAGGGCACGGCGATGTGTGCGTCCCGGCGCCTATGCCTGCTGGCCCGCCACCGCCACTGACACCGCCCACACTGCCCACACCGCCGCCACCGCCGGTTGGTGAGTGCATCAGCGACATGGTGTACCCCGAGGTTGCGCAGGCTGTGGGCAGCGGGCTGTCGTGGCTGTGCTACCGCAACGTGACGTTCAGCGGGGGCGGCATGAGCCTGACGGTGCTCATTGAGGCGATGACGGGCGACGTGGCGAATGTCGTGTTCGATGGATGCACGTGGAGGGACGGCGCCTTGCTGTTGCTGTTGGGCAACGCGTACGCCGCTGTGGGGTCGCTGAACATCGTCGTCACCGGCAACACGTTTGATGATGCGCTTCTCAGCCCGGAGGGTGTGTTTCCACCGCACACGAACATCACGATCAGCGGGAACCGCTTCACGGTCACGAGGCTGATTCCTCGGTCGGGTTTGGACATTATGAGGCCGTCGTGTGTCGCGATGAATGCATTGGCGATTAGCAACGGCTCCGCGGTGGTGCTCAGTGGCAATGTGTTTCAGAGCGTGAGAGCATCGTCAATCGCCATTCACGTTGTCAGATCTGCGCTGAGGGTGTCGTGGCACTCCGTGTTTGCGGTGGTGGGCAACACGTTTCATATGGCTGGCAGTGACGGTACGCCGATAAATCTTGAGGGGACTAGCCAATCGTTTTCGCTGAGCGTACTGAACAACTCTGCCATGGTGATCCGAGGCAACGCTGTGTCGAGGCCGGTGAGGTACTTTTTATTACTAATTTTGGCATTGCATGTGGAGTCTTTTTCAGCGGTTGTGTTTCAGGGCAACGACATGCGAGGAAGTGTGGCTGCATTTTTATCAGGCTTTTATTCCTATATTTACTACAACTCCTGGCTGCAGTTGAGCGGCAACTTCTGCCGTGAATCCCCATCGGAAGCGTTTGCTGTTTTTAACCCCACGGTGAATCTCCGCGACTCCACGGTGTCTGTGTCCGGCAACCAATTCATGTTCGGCACAGGCACGCCAACACTGATAAAGATACCCAAAAGGTCCAGCGATCTCACAAACGGAACGATTGTGGCTGCGTGCAACACTGGGAGCGACGAGGAGGAAGCGAACTACGTCATTCCGTCCGTGTACAATGCCACCATCCTGACCTGCAGCGATCCATGCACCCTCGCAGCGTCGTGCTTCCCTGCGTACACGACGACGGCCTCGAGTGATGGCTGCGCCTGCGCGTGCGCGGAGGGCGGCCACGGCGATGCGTGCCTGCCCGTTGCTGTCCCCGAGCCACCGAGCACCGACGGCGCTGATTTGTGCGTGCGTGAAGTGCGTGTGGGTGTGGAGGTGATCGCCGGTCTCGGGACGTCAGTGGTGTGCTACGTTGGCGTGACCTTTGCGGCGGACGTCGTGGTGGACGTGGAGTCGATGTCAGGGAGCGTGCGCAACGTGACGCTGGTGAACTGCACGTTTGTGGGCGGAGCGAGCCTGTACGTTGTCGGGTGGCGGTCCGACCCGACTGCTGGCGAGCGCGCCGATGCTTTGATCAGCGGGCTTGAATCGCGCTCCGGCGGCGGCGTGCTGGTGGCGAACCGATTTCCGCCGGGCTCGCGCGTCACTCTGGTGGACTCGGTGCTGATTGCGGAGGCGCGTGTTGCGTACCGCGGCGCCTACGATCTTGGCGACCTCTCCGCGTGCCTCGTGGTGCACAGCGTGAATCTGACTGGGAGCGTGCTGACCATTGCACGCACGCATGTGGCGGCGGTGTTCCGTGACGCTGTTGGCGTGTTGTTTTTTGGCGGCGTGGCGCTGTCGTCGCGCGGTGCGCTGTACGTGGACGGGCTGTTGGTGCAGACGGTGCTGGGGCTGTGCGTGTCGGTGGAGGACGGTGTTGCGGTCAGCGGCGGCTCCGTGGTGGCGTTTGTTGACAGCGACTTCCTGCTGTGCAAGCACGCGGTGTCTGTGCGTGGGGCTGTGGGCGTGTCGGGCTCCGCTGTGGCGTTTATGCGGAGCGAATTCTTGTCGACGGAGGACTACGCGGTGGCGTTTTATTCGACGCTGAGTCTGGCTGACGGGTCGATGCTGCTGGCGAAGGGCAACGTGCACGACGGTGTCTCGAGGGAGATGATCTACGCTGCTGGCGCCGTGACCGCTGCTGGGAGCACGCTGAGCTTTGTGCGCAACCGAGCGCTGCTGCCGCGGATGCTGTCGCTGAGCCTGTCGCTTGCGGCTGGGGCGCATTTGAGGGTGGCGTGCAACGACGCTGGTGGACGTGTCCTGTCGACGGCGGAGGAGTACGCAGCGGCTGGTTTTGGCGACGCTGGGCGCATCGACGTTGCTGGGTGCGACGACTGCGACAGGGACACGCACTGCTACGCCCCCGGGACGGCGTCGGCGACCATGAGGAACGGTGTGTGCGTGTGCGCGTGCGGCAGCGGCGGGTACGGCGAGGCGTGCGTGCCTGTGGGTGCTCCTGCACTGCCGCCCGCTGTGGGCACCGCGTCGAGTCTGTTTTTCCGTGAGGGCGTGACGGTGCGGTCGGTGTTCGTTGTGCCTGCCGGTGCGAGCGAGGTGACGCTGCGCCACGTTGTGCTGGACGGCGTGAGTCCTGTGCTCTACGTGCCGTGGATGGCGCGGGACGGCGTGCG